CTGCAAATTGCATGTGTTTATCTTTTTTTGAATGCTGAGTAATATTCCATGGTATATATGGACCACATCTTCTTGATCCAGTCATCTATTTTTGGGCATTTGGGTTGTAATGGTTCTAATAAGCCATTTCAAATGGTTGTCATTATTTAAAACTCCTTTCATTTGATTTTCTTTTTTTTAAATTTTTTTTAAAGATTTATTTGTTTATGCATACAAGAGCTGGGGTACAGGCCAGAGGTGGGGGTTGGTAAGAGGATTCACCAGAGACAGAGTGGGGAACAGAATAGGCAGATTGACTGAAGTACACTGCTGAGGGGAGCAGTGGGAGAGGCAGGAGAGATCTGCTACGCCATGTGGGTTACTCCCTGGCTGGCTGGGGATCGAACTCGTGCTGCAGAAGCTGTGGACCACTTCATAGTGCGGTGCTTAACCCCTTGTGCCACCAGGGAGGCCCTCATTTGATTTTTGAAACAACCTGTAGCAAACTATTATCTTCATTTTCTGTATTTTTACAGATTCATTATTCTTTTTATCCACTCAAACTATTCTGTCTTAACATAGTAATAGCTAATATTAATCTATCATTTACTATATGCTAGACACTTTTTAAAGTCCTTCACATGTATAAACTTCTTAAAATCCAGTGAATACAAAGCATTATTATTTTTCATTTTATAGATGACAAAACTGAGTAACAGAGAAGTAATTTTTTCATAATCACACAATTTTTTCATAGTGAGCAGTAGAGCCTGGCTTTGAACTTAGCACTATGTCTCCAGAACTGGCATTTTTAATTAATTTTCTCCGTGTTTGTTATTATACCTATGAGTCAATTAAAACAGATGGCCTTAAAAGAGGAGTCAGGCAAAGAAAGACATGAAATAATCAGTTGTTTATTCAACAAAAATTTTAGTAAGTACTCACTCTGCTCCAGACACTGCTTGGTGGTAAATTAGATAGATTTTGTCCTTATCCTCATAAAACTTACAACTTAACATAGAAGTTGCTCACTAAACAAATTATAATAATATAGGATAAATTTTTTCATAGAAATAGTGTAGAAGTCCACAAAACATCTACCAGGAATGCAGCAAGGCTTTCCAAATGTAGTGGTGATTAAGCTAAAATTTCACATAACTACCAGTGTTCAGTATACCTGACCTAAAGTGTAGGCTTTTTCCATTAAAAAAAAAAAAGAGCCTGCTTAGTGGCCTAGGGGTTAACTCTCAGCACTATCACGTCAACAGCTTGAGTTCCATTCCAGGCCAGGGAACAAACCCACATATGGCACAGCAGTCCTTTCCTATCTTGCCTGCTGTGCCCCTTAGCAGTGTATCTCAGTAGATCTGCGTGTTCTGCTCCCCACTCTGTCTCTTGTGAATCTTTTCACTCCCTGCACCTCTGGCCTGCACCCCAGTTCTTCTACACATAAATAAATAAATCTTTTTAAAAATGGGTAAAATTAGAAATAAGAAGGCTATAATATCAAATATAATGATTTTAAAAGTTAAGGAAGATAATTTGATAGACATAGATTTGGAAGATAATGAATAGATTATGCTATATTGAAGTATATATTTTCAAAATTCACTGAGTTACCTACCAAAATGGACCAAAAAAAAGGGGGTGATAAACTTAACAATCAAAAAAAAAAAAAAACTCCCTCTCCCCCTAGAAGCCAGTTCTGCCTGTGAATTTCTTGAAATTTTTAAAAACATGATTTATTATGTAATATAAATTTTTCTATATCTCATTTGAAAAGATGCATAGCATCCATATTTCTTTTTTGAAACTAACATCTTGATACAAAAATGTTACAGAGGACAAAAATGTGGATACAAAAATGCCAAAGAAAACACCGGCTGACCAAGTACAATAAGATTAAAAAGAAGGGCCTCCCTGGTGGCACAGGGGTTAAAGTCTCAGTACTCTCAAGCTATGGCCAGCCACTGCAGTGAGTTGGAATCCCTGCCAGGGAACTAACACACATGGTGCAGCGGACCTTTCCTCCTTTGCCTGCTGCTCCCCTCAGCAGTGTATTTCAGTAGATCCACCTGTTCTGCTCCCTACTCTGACTCAGGTGAACCCTCTCATGCCCCTCTCACATACTCTAGGCCTACACCCCAGTTCTTGTATGCATAAATCTTTTTTAAAAATTAAAAGAATTGCTTATCATAACCAAACACGGTTGATCTCATGAATATAAGGATGGTTTAGTAATTATACATTTCTTACTATAGTTGATTGATAAATGCCTTTATATAAAGGGCATTTGGTAAGTGCTAATGTTCATTATTATAAATAATCTTAAAAGTCAGAAGAGTTCTGTGATAATATAACACAGGAATATGTGACTGGTGCATTATAAATGAGTTAATATTATCTACAAATTAAAAAAAGGAAAATTTGATCATCTTAATAAAGAAAATGCATTCAGTAAAATTCAACATTTTTTCACATAATTTTTTTTATCAGAAGACATAACAAAAACCTGTTTAGTCAGCATCACACTTAAATGGAGAGGCATCACACCTAGGTAGTGACACATTGGAAGCAGTCTCCTTAAATTAGAAATAAGTTGAAGATATCTTCTCTTACCACCTCTAATCAACATTGACTGAAGGTCATAGCACAGTAATAAAAAAGAAAAGTATGCAGAATAGAAAGAAAAACAAAACTTTAATTGCTCTCAGGTGTGAGACTACAAAGCTAAGTCCTCAAAAAAACATGTATAAAATGAATATGAGGGCTTATAATTAGGGATATAACATCAAGTAAGCAATTTATAATAGCATCAAAATATAAAAGTGTCTTAACACACATTTTAATAAGTGATATAAGTAGCCATATTGTGCCATGGAAGCTTTAGGAGGCTGTGGGGATTAGTAACAGTCAAATCATTCAGGAAGATTCAGCCCGGTTTCCTAGTCTCCCCAGGTATCTGTCATTCATTAGGTTTACAGAAGCCCCAATCAAGTAACCAGCTGAATAGGGGCCTATAACAAAACAGATTCTCACTGAATTTAAAAAGTAGAGGTAGTGGAAGTAGAGCTTGACAAAGATATACAGAGGAATATGGGGGAGTAGAGAAATATCTGAAAAGAATCAAGAGATTGCAGCACTTTCATTTGCTTTGTGATTCTACCAGCAAAACACTTCACAGTGTTATTGGGAAGAAAAAAAGTGAGAAATTTATGTGAAAGTAGTATACACAGGATCTTGTGTTTACTCTTCTGTCATCAGATGTTCCAAGGAATAGGAAGAATTAGTGAAGACTAACTTCATTACTCCAATTTGATAAGAATTTATTCTGCATAAGATACATCCTCTAATTTCCAAAAATAAAAATATTCTATTTCCAGCATATTGTATTATAACAACTAAAACTTTACTAATATGCTTTCATTCAGTAACCAACAACCTATTGAAATAGGTGCCAGCATTATCTTCATTCTACAGATGAGGCCACAGTAGGTGTCCTTCTAGGTACCTGTCTAATTGTGTTTACATCAATCAACAGAAATAGACATTAGTAATAAACAGAAGACTGTAGAATTCAATGGCCAAACTCACTAGATTGTCAGCTCTACTGGCTGCCTATTCAATGTAGGCTAATTCATTGCTTTTTCCCCCTACAATTAATAACTTTCATACCTTTAGAATAACTGTGTTCTTGAAATAAGATATGGCCACATTAGCTACTTCATGGTTTTTTCCCAAAGGCAGAAGTGTACACATTCTTTTAAGGGTTTCGAACACTTCCCAAGGAGTTTTTGAGCTAGTCAATTTGTATTAAAAACAATAAATCATGAAATTCTTTCAAAAGGACAAACATATAGAAAACATATATATTACCTATTTAACAAACAACACTATGTCATCTTTCTCATCATCATATTCCATTCTTTCCCCCACAGGAGAGTTTCTGTAAGTATCAAGAGTGAAGAAATATAATTTCCAAGCAGCAAATTTAAAATTCTGGTCAAACTTGGCAAATCCTTATATACTCACATTCCATTAGGCAAAGATGGCAGCCACAAAGAGTATTCAATATTTGCCAGAAAGTATTGTTGTACAGTGAATAAATTATATTTGAGGAAATTAAGTCCAAGGTTATATGACTAATGTTTGGCAGTGCTAGATTCATGTATGTCTGTTTATTCTAGATCTTTTATCACTCACCTCCATCCCCCAAAGAAAAATCTCAGGATCAATGACTGAAATTTTCATTAAATGAAAAATTCACATTTCCAACTTTCCCCATGTCTCTAGAATTTAGTACTTTTTCCAGAAGGAAATAGAGCAGAACAGAAGATTGCAATAGAGACTTTTAGGTAATTTGTATAAGGGACTTAGATGTAGAGAGACATGAAAGGCTTCCAAGCAATAGGAAGAATTAGTGAAGACTAACTTAATTACTCCAATTTGATAAGAATTTATTCAACATTCTGGAAAAGAACTCTGACTACATCTGCAAAAGTTTAGGATTCTCCTTATGCTATGTTTTTAATTATTTTACTTCTATGGCTATGTGTCAGAAATATAAATTTATAATTTGCTTCTTCCTAAAATTACAAAATATATAGACTAAAATCTTCAAGCTCAGAAAAATAATGTGGATCTGTTTGAACCACATCTTACTATTTCATTTTTAAAACACCTTTGGTTTTACTTTATAAAAAGTTTTAAAATAAGTCAATATGTTTAAAATAAGTCAATAAGTCAATTAAAGGTACTATATTTTACCTTAGTAGTTTAATATTACTTTTAGTCTATAAACTTACATTTTAAAAAAGTTTTCATTCTTTACTGAGGGTGATCTCATTGAGCCTAAACATAAATATCTTTAGAAAAATTAATATTTAGGAACATTCTCACATTTCATATTAATAGTCAAAACCATTTTTAAATATATTTTTGTTGACTCATTTATTTCAATTACTGCCCATAAATAAATTTTTTGTATGTGGAGGGAAAACCTGCTAATTTTTTTTCTACAGTATCCTACAAACCTAAAGAGAAATCTTAAAAAAAAAAAAAAGTTATTAGAAGAAAGGAATCTGTGGAAACAAACCTGGAAACAACCAGAATCTTAATGGTGTGCCAAACCAAATGTCAGCTGGAGCACAACCAAAAACTAAAGTAAGTAGCTTTATTTCAGAAAATTGTGGGTGGAATATCATGCCCCACTCATGCAGTAAAGACAGCACCATATTCACACATTCTCGCTTACATTTTTTGTTTTAAATTTAGCATTAAGGAGGGATTGTGTTTCATTACAACATGATTTATAATAAAAAACACACATACTTGCTAATATTTATAAAATTGGGGAAAATGCAGTCTGATTTTGTTAAATGACAAATCATTATAATAGGTAGAACCATAGCAGTAGATTGTATATATTTCAATTAATTTCTTCATTATTAGCAAACATTTATGCCACAGTTGGAAATCTACTTAACCTCATTTTGTAGAAGTCTTTCCTATGAGGATGGCTCATATTCTACCCAATAGGATTCCAGAAGAGTCATCAGATTTGGGAACACATCTGTAAAATATCAGTTACAAATATTAACTATACTTTAAATAATTGTCTTTGCTATACAGAGTAAATAAATCCCAGGGATTTTGGGGGGGGGTTGTTTTTTTATTTTTACCAGTTTTTTAAATAGATTTTTACATCTTTTAGTCAACTCTAACTTTTCCAACACTCCAAATCTGTCACATTTTTATTGTATCAATAAATTCAGACTAATGTTTGATATAGAGGTTTATTCATAATAAATAGCAAGATTTTATGAAGTTACTTATGGTTCTTGATTTTATGTTTTGGCTACTTTACAAAAATATAGTAATTTTGCCATTAAATACAAAGGACAAACATTATATGTCTTTCTGAGAGGAAACAGCTTATTAAATTACCTTAAAGAGATACATTAAGAGATATTACTTACAAAGGTATGGGTAGGGTTGTAGGAAACCAACAACTCTAATATATATTGCCAAGCATGATCTTTGGCCTTCAAAAAGATATACAATCACAACCAAAGTTCAACCTGACAGAGAAGAAGCACAGGGAGTAAATTTCCATCTCCCTATTTCCCTTCCCTCTCTCCCATATTCTAACCTCCTCTAACCTCCCACTGGCTGATCTCATCAGGAAATCAGTAGGAAAGTGCCCTATGTTAATGAATTATTTAGAAATCATGCTCTACTAAGAAGATGGAAGAAAGCAGAGAGTGATTTGAGTGGGTCAAATAGAAAATATTCGGTACATAATAAAATGAAAATAACATTGTCAGCAACCAGATGTGTGCCAGGCATGATACTAAGCTCTCTACATCCATAGCCTTTAATCCACTAACAACCCTACAACATAGGCATTGTTAACTCTAGATTTTAGAAAAGAAACTGATGTTTACAACAACATTGTAAAATTAGTGGGATAGATATTAATTTTATCCTATGTCTAGATTAGAAAACCAAGTTCTAGAAAAGATAAGTGACTTGCTCAAAGGGGCAAAACCAGTACCACTTGAGTCTGAGTTTTGACTCTCTTCATCACTATATTAAACCAACATACATGGCTTTGGGGAACTTTTGTAATATCTTTTTTTAAAAAAAAAAAAGATGAATATTGCTAATGAAAGAAGCCAGTCAGAAAAGGCTGTATGATTTCAACTCTGACATTCTAGAAAAAGCTTAAGTATGGGGACTACTAAAATATCAGTGGTTGCTAGAGATTAGTGAGACGGGAGGTGAAGCAAAAAGGATTTGGAGGGCAAGAAACTATTAGATATGATAGTCAATGGTGGGTACACAGCATTCTACACTTGTCAAAATCCATAAAGTTTAATCAAGAGTGAACCAGAAGGTAAACCATGGACTTTGGGTAATTATGGTGTGTCAATGTAGGCTCATTAATTGTAAATGTGCCACTCTGGTAGAGAACATTGATAATGGGGGATACTGTATGTGTAGAATCAGGGGTGTATGGGAAAGCTTTGTAATTTCTCCTCAGTTTTACTGTGTACTTAAAACTGCTCTAAAAAAAGTTTTTTTAAAGTAATTCTTTCTAATAAAAATAAATACAAAGTATAGCACATCTTAATTATATTCATTCCTGTGCACATTTTGTTTCTTTTTGGTGAAATATGACTGATACTATCTATCAACTTTTATAAAAGGTTTTCTTCTCTCAGCTTTCCTCAGCCTAAGAAGAAAATGATCTTGACAAATCAGTTGATTTATCTTTTTAAGATTAACAATGAAAGCTAAAATGGAGAAAGCCATTATTTTTGTGTGATTCTATAATCCATGCCTATTGCCTCTTACGGGAATGTAATGTATTAAATAGATTGTCAGAACCTGTTTCTTAGCTAGTTTCCCAATTTATTTTTTTCATTCTAGTTACTTTATTTTCTTTCTTTTTGTTTGTTTGTTTTTAGTAGCTCTTAATTATCTGGTACAGGATAAAATATTATAAAGTATTAGGTAAAAAAAATGTGGCCGTATTTAATTTAATTTTCTGGCCCATTCACAATACTCTTACCTGGGTCCTAAGTCAATTCTACTGACACAGGATGTGAAGAGGAGGGATTATAGCCTCAGAGTTTAATACAGGGATGTATGTAACTTCTGAAAATCTGTTTTCTGTTATTTGTTCTCACCATCAATATGTGCCATCCACATTCCTCCCAAAGTGTTCACTTGTGAGTAGGCAGCATGCAGGAGAATTTTTTGATGCTGTTCTATCTGTAGCTTTTAGGTAAATGGATACCTCTCTTATTGTTTCCTTATTCTAGGTAGTATTTTCTAAAGTATCAGTTCACTTCTATTTCCTCTGAGCTTAGCATAGTAACAGAAAGTAGTAAGCACTAATTAAATATGTCATACATAGTATGCTCTAGTTATTCCAGCTGTATTTCCTTTCTGCTATAGGGTAGTGGCAAGAGTTGCTACTCACACACATTTGAACTAATGTTTTGGCAAGGAAAGGTAGATGGATCCACAACACAAAAAGTTAATGGGTTCTAGGATGTCAGTTGAAGAGTTGTTAGGAGCAAAGACTTTGTAGGTTGGGAAAATTCCCAGAAGAATTTTTTCACTCAGGTCAAACTTTATCCTCCTTTTTCTTCTGAGAGCACCAGTTTTTATGTAGCATGCTGCCCTTTCTTTCCACTGTTACCACCTTTGCCTTCAACTATTATTTCTTTCTTTCATTCCTTGATGAGTAAGACATAAGTAGTCTCAACAAGTGCAACTCTTCCATATACAAATTTTCTAAGGGTTTTTATTGGAAATTAGAAGGAATTATAATTTCTTTTTTTAAAAAAATATTTATTTATTTATTTATTTATTTATTTATTTATTTATTTATACAAGAACTGGGGTACAGGCCAAATTCGCAGGAGGGTGAGAGGATTCACCAGAGACAGAGCAGGGAACAGAACAGGCAGACTGACTGAAATACACTGCTGAGGGGAGCAGCGGGCGAGACAGGAGAGGTCTGCTACACCATGTGCTCAACCGCCTGCCACCAGGGGAGGCCCGAAATTATAATTTCATTGGAAATTATAACAAATGGATAATGATCAAGGAACTCCCCATAGTATCCTCCTATTAATACTTTTCATTTTTCCCAAGAGAGTGGGAGGGAGATAAGACAGAGATAGTTGGTGGTTCTCAAGTAATGTTTATTTGTAATTTGACAGTCTTCTATGTTCAGGGAATGTCCTAGAATCTTAATTAAAGAAGCTAAAGAAGAGTTAAGAAATAGCTGGGGGGATTTTAAGAGTTACAGTGGAACAGGGACTAGAGATTTGAAAGGTGATCTTGCACTTTTTTAGAAGAGAGGTCACTGGAAATGGGAGAAAGAATAAATCATGCATGGAGATACTGGGGGAGATATCCTACCTCTTGTTGCTTCTTTGCATTATTTTCAGCATAATTACTACATCGATTCCTTTTTGGACTCTGCAGTGAGGCAAGTTCAGAGGATTTTTGCATGATCAGAGGGATGAGAAGGATATGTGAAACATCCTTGTATTAGCAGCTATAGGATGGGTAGAGTTACTTTTGCCACCAGGCTGAAGTAGTAACTCCCAGAAGTTATCTATATGTAAACAGTGGTCCAACAGATATAAAATAGGTACTTACTGTTTAAAAAAACTGGTAAGATCTTAAAGAATTGAACACTATTCTTTTTTTTTTTTTTAAGATTTATTTATTTATTTTTATACAAGCACTAGGTACAGTCAGAAGCACGGGAGGGTGAGAGAATTCACCAGAGACAGAGCGGGGAACAGAACAGGTAGACCAACGAAATACACTGCTGAGGGGAGCAGCGGGCAGCAGGGGAGGTCTGCGCGCCTTGTGGGACCCTCGCCGGCAGCCGGAGATGGAACTGGTGCTGCAGAGGCTGTGGGCAGCTTCGCAGCCTGGCGCTCAGCCGCTGTACCACCAGGGGAGGCCCTGAATACTATTCTTTACCTTGTATTTCATCATTAAATCATGACTAAGTATTCTAGAATATTTCAGTCCTTTATCATTTGCAGATTCAGTGAGCATTTACTAGAGTTAATACATATAGAACCATGCCCGTGTAAACAACATCTGTTAAGGGAATGTGGCCCCATTGTGTGGTTGGAAATACATAGTCACGAGCCACCTGTGGCCCCTGTATTCTCGAAGCTCTGACTAGATATTTCTGCCTATGAAATCACCCCAGCTATCAACCTAACATATTTCTCTAGTATTATTAAAATCATTTTAAAACATGTTTTATCTGAAAAATTCAAGGCTTTCATTTTCTTTTATGTCCTTTACTGGTTATGCACATTTCCTTTATGGACTGAATGGATAACAGCATGAACTGTTGTAATAAGTTCTCCACTCTGCAGACCTGTGTAGCACCCACTCATGTGCCAAAGTTATGTACCAGATGGCAAGTGAAAGTAATTTGATATCTATGGTGAGATGGCATTTACAGAAAACACATGTACAAGTACAGCAGGATGCACACTTCACAATGATCTTAAAAATACACTGCATAAGTCAGTCAAATATTTATTCAGTGTCTTTTCTGTGTAGAACCTTGTGAAGATTACTATTTTGTGTTGTGTTGCCTGGGTTCTGGC